TTTTTTTTGTTGTATTTGTTTGACAGATGATGGATATGAAGAAGCTATTTGTTTGTGGAAAATATGCAGTATTTATTAAACAAAAAAAACGGCAAATAAAAAATTTGGAGCTTACGTTTCCTTCGCGGATATGGCTCGATTGTTTCGAATATGGTAATTCGAATTCTTTGATGTCGCACTTTCAATATTCTGGGGAGACTATACAACTGTCAGAATATTAACCATTCGCCGGGTTGCCCGAAAATTTGAATGATTAAAAATATCAAAATATAAAAAAATATAAAAATATTCGCCATAAAAAGGCGTTTGCATTGTTCAACTTTGCATTCTACTTTCAACTAATCGCTTTCAACAAAGTTGGTCGCCAGCCAACATTCGCCTCGTGCGTAAACCTTTTAAGTGTGCAATTACATACATCGCGCCATTGACTAAACCGAGCTGTCGTGTGACGATTGGGCCTATGGATGCGGTTTGGCAAAATTATATTGCGTCAAAGCCTCATTCGGAGACACCAGGAGTGTGTTGTGGAGGACAATACCTAAATACCTTCGTTGGCTCATTTACCAAAACCATTGCATGCTTTACTTTACAGCGACTTGGCAGAATCAAGAGGTCTCCACGAATATCGACAAATATATTTCGGCATTTAAGAGAATTTCGTCTCTTTAGCCTACATTGAATTTCTGTAGTCCAACGATGCTCACCCATTTTGTCTTGTTGGCGCCAGCGAATGAAGAACAAACATTTCTTCAAATTTAAAAAGTAAAAATTTCACTACTAACAATTTAAAAATGTTCTTAAAACTTGCAAAGATATTTGGAAAAGAAATATCACTGTTTTTTGTTTTTAGGAGTATGGTGGGAGTGTCATTGATAAAATTAGAGCGAGAGAAAGTTTTTCTTACAAAACCTTTCATTATTGAATCATGATTTTCCTGTGTGTTTGGACCCCTTAACAGGCGCCATAGGCGGCGCGTCTGACTCGCGAGTCATTTGTGAACGTGTGGACTCGACCTTCGACTACACACAGTTGAGGCATTCAGGGTCATGCCAGAGTCATGTCGGTGTAACTTATTTATTTTCACTAACACATCCAAACCAACTCGCGAGTCAGACACAACGTGTATGCCGCCTATAATGTTGATCGATGATGTTAACTTACAGTCTCTTATTTTTTACTTTTTGCTTACCATGAACGTAAACTTGCAAAATGGTTGCCAATTTCACGCCAAGCTGTTTCCATTTGCTGATCTGAGACGCCGGATCCCATTCGATACAGCTGCACGGCACGAAACCAGTCGCACAACGTTATACGCAGAGTTATTGCCAAATCTCTGTAAATTCAAAAAGAACACCAGCTAAGGTGAAATATTTGTGTACATATCGATGGTCCTCTGCTGCAATAACAATACAACAAAACTTTTTTTTATTTTTCAGTAGAGCCAAATAAAGTTTTTACGTTTCATAATTTAGCATTAATATGTATATCTTGCAACGTAATTATTGGGGATTTTTCGAAGTTATTTTGTAGAGAAACTATGTAAGCTTACAAATTATGACTGCTTAATAAAGATTTAGTAAGGATTAGATTGAAGAAGACGAAATAAGAAACTATTATTAACCCTTTGAGGACCGTTGTTGCAACATTATAGGCAACATTGGCATTTTGATTATGTATATATCTTGTTTGAATTATAAAACCAATTAGTTTTCACCACCTTTTCGTAGTGACTACAACATTAAAATAAAATACATATAATAAATTATTATTTTTGTTTACCAGGGGCCCGGCGGGCCCGTGTCCATCTCTACTATAGATATAATTCGTCGATTTTGTTAAACGGTAATGTTGGAATTTCATCAGAATTTCGAAAATTGCAAGCTTTCCGAAACTTTTTATAGTTCAAACGTGAAAACGTGCTAAGTCCACCTTTTATGAAAATTGAGATTTTAATGCAGTAAGATAGCACAATTCAAAATACATCATTACAACAAAAAAAGTTGGCGTTATGTCGTTCTTGCTTGTTGCTATGCAGTGGTATAAGGGTAGCCAACTAATTTTTGTGAATTCCCCGATTTCAACAATGAATGTCTCCTTATTTACAAAAAAAAATTGTGTGTATTTTGACATATTGCTGGTCTGTCTGTTTATTTTCTTTTTAATATAATTCGGCTATGTACATATGTATTCATAGACCAAACCAAACTTTTATAAAGTTAGTTAACAAATGAAGGAAACAATGAACATATAATGTTTACACCAGGGACCGTAACCGTTATAAGTTTTATTATAAATATCACTTTTTAATTGTTATTAACTGAGATTTATTTTTTGCTCGGAAAATAATGGTTACGTTTTAAGTTTTATTTTTTGCTCGGAAAATAATGGTTACGTTTTAAGTTTTATTTTTTGCTCGGAAAATGATGGTTACGTTTTAAGTTTTATTTTTTGCTCGGAAAATAATCGTTACGTTTAAAGTTTTATTTTTTGCTCGGAAAATAATCGTTATTTCTTAAGTTTTTTGTTCAGAAAATAAAACTTAATTTTTGCGTATGCGTATGCGCTTTTTTGCACTTTTTCTTTAGAAATGTGGTTCGCTTTGTTTCTGCGATGGTATCTGCATTTTCATTACCTACTCCACAGTGGCGTTAAAGGTTCAATGCAGCCGCCCCCTGTCTATTCACGCATGCACACACGCATATGCAAAAATTAAGTTTTATTTTCTGAACAAAAAATAAAACTTAAGAAATAACGATTATTTTCCGAGCAAAAATAAAACTTAAAACGTAATCATTATTTTCCGAGCAAAAAATAAAACTTAAAATGTAACCATTATTTTCCGAGCAAAAAATAAAACTTAAAACGTAACCATTATTTTCCGAGCAAAAAATAAAGCTCAAAACATAACGATTATTTTCTGAGTAAAAAATAAAACTCAAAATATAATGATTAAACTTGATTTTTATAGGTAAAAATTAAAAAAATAAAAATCAGTGCCACTGAAGGTACTCCGAGTAAGAAGAAATATATTGGTTTACTCCTTATGCACGTAGCCTTTCTATTTCCGCGTGATTTTTTGAGTTGAAATCTCAAAGGCTAATCGTTATTTGCGGTCCCTGGTTTACACACATACAGTGGTCGAAAAAGTTTTATTTAGTTACGCAAAATCTTGACAAGTTTTCCCAATTATTGTTATTTTTTGTTAGTTATTAATTTGATTTCCTTTATTTTTAATTTTTTTTTATATTCTTTAACAAAAACCATATAAATCCAAATTTCAATCTTTGTGTAATATTAAAAAAACATTAACAAAATTTTGTTAAAATTTAGAGATTTTTAATTAGATCTTCTGAAAGATTTTGAGTATTTAGTTTTGTAGCACACTCAATTCGAGTAAGTGCAAGTTTAAAGTACACATACAATTGTGTTTATTCGCAAATGCGACAAAAAAAAACCTAAATCAAACATATTGCAAATCATTACTTTTAGTTGCAGTTGCATTTCTAACGCGACTTTTTTACCTTTTTATCTTTGAAATCGGGCAATCGCTACGCGCATCTACCACATAACGGTAATTTACAGAAATTGGAAAACTGCGATTAACCAATAATTACTGAAGCCAATTTACTTAAAACCGATGACTGCGATAACCACTTAGCAGAAAATTAGGTTATCAGAAATTCTTGGATAGTGGGCGTGGCGTCACCCACTTATGATTTATCAGTTTGTACCAAACTCGGTGCACTTAATAATCCTGCTACGGAAGAGTAATTCGTTGAAAATTATTAAAATCGGACAAAAATGACACCCTCTTCCCGTATATCTAATGGTAAATTTCAAAATGGGTGTTGCACCGCCCACTTTCTAACTACAATTGAGTCTAACTCAGAATATAATCGAAAAAGCTCGAAATCGGGAAAAGCACTCCTGCTTATCAATCAAAGGTAGTTGAGAGAAAGTCGAAACGGCAATATTTGATTTTGATTTGATTGTTATTTTTGCTGAGAGCAATGAAATAAGACTGTATTAGGTTATTATTCGTTTTAAAACAATAAAATCTATTTAAAATAAACAACTAAATCTTTTAACAATAAAAAAAAATTAAAAACAGGTTGATAGAAAATGTGGTAAGTCCCAAAAGAGCCTATAAGTCTGCAACAGTTTAATTTTGAAATTGGCCGATTATAATTATTGATACTGAAACAAGACGAACTAAGGAAGAGAACTGCATTTACAGATTAGGAAAATATTAAAACAAAAAAAAGTTAAACGGTGTTTTGTACCTCCTGAAAAATTAAAAAAAATGGACCTAGCACGTTTGCACACTAAGCCAACGATTTGTTATATGTAATAATCATCTAAGCTAGACTACCTTCTATCTGCGTCCATGTACAATTTCTCTGCCTCTTCGAACTCGCCATAGAAGGCTGCCACTTCTGCTTTTTGCAACATGGCCGACGATATATTTCGCAAGCGCTTTATCAACTGTATTCCCGGATAATTTGCACAGCGAACGAATGCATTCTCGGCCACATCCAATTCGAGTTTCTTCAATGCCGCCTCAGCTAATAGACGCCATAGACGTGGATGTGGGTTGTCTTCGATGAATTGCTTAGCATCTTCCAAGCCCACGTGCTGGAGCAGATCATCGGTATCACGCAATGATTTAACACGCAACTGTATAATATGACTGATGGAATTCTGAGTTTCATCGCCACTTATTATATCATCGAGGAGGACACTCGTAATTTCTAAATCTTCGAAAGCGCAAATATAACCGGAACAAGAAATAGGTTCCTCAGGATCATTGCCACGAAACACATACATGCGCGTTTTCTCCATTAAAGCGAGTAGCAAGGGATTATCTTTGGCCCAACAAATGGCCCATACATCCTTACGTTCAACGCGATTAAAGTTCAATTGTGACTCGCGATTATCGTCCAAGTCAAGCAAAGTCATGATACCAGCATCATCGATTACCGCTGCACGGCTTCAAAAACGGGTAGAGAAAAATTTTATTTATTTATCTACTTATTATAGTATATTTATGAACAATTAGCCTCATTGCGTTAGTCGTGAATTAGACTAAATTGTACGACTCGACAACGACGAAAATCGTTGAAAACTATCCAGTGCTGCCAAGTTTTTCCGTCTTAATGTACTAGTCGAGTCAAAATTTTAGGCAATCCCGATACGATTCGACTATCGAAAAACGACTTGCACTCGTTTCGACACTCGCAATGAGGCTGAGTATATTTTTACAGACTATGAGAAAATTAAAGTGTTTATTTTAAATGCTTAAATTAGGCAATTGAATTCAAAATGTACACAAAATATGATTTTAGTAGCGAAAATTCGAGTTCAATACAATTAGAGATTAGGTTCAATTCATTAATAGCTCGGCAAACGGGAGCATTCCGAGCGTAGTTTGTTTTACAATTTCTGCTATAAAATGTAAAGGCCGTGTGCGGAATATTAAAATAAATCCGTTCCAAGAGGTAAGGACAGTCAACAGTTCCTTGAAAAAATGCCCAACACAAAAGTTAAAGAAAGGACTGACTTTCTCTTTTCCATTGAAGGAAAGTTTGATGTCAAATATAACGCCCCTCTTAATTTCTTAGTATGCTGCCTGAGATACGATACGAGGTAACGAAAACATTTGTGGACTTAGTGAAAGTAACATAAAAACATTTATTGACATTGAGGGAAGGGCGCGATTGTACACACCAAGCGTGCAGGTTGTCAAGCTCCGTTTGAATTTTAAACATAGTTAAGAAGCATTAACTTATGTAATTTATAAAAAAAAATGCCCGCAACTCAAACACGACTTAAGCTAATTAAAAATGTCAAAATGTTTTGAACAATCCACCTGCTATTTGCTAATTTATAGTAACATTTACAATATCGAGGACTTATATTCAGTATTCTCTATCTGCAATTTTCAGAAAAACTAGCTTCTGATGCTGAAACCCATTTGGGACTTAACTGTTATCACTGATGTTAACTCTAACTTTCAAATTAAATGGTAAATTCTACCAAGAAGCTTTTTATAAGGTTAGCATTAACACCATCGATGACACTTAATTCTTAGGTGGATTTTTATATCGGCAGCTGAGTCTTGTGAAAATTGCGGACAAAGGGTATTGAATATAGGCCGACGATATATTTATCTGCATATGTACATATGTAAAGTACCTACCTAGAATTGCAATTAATAACCATTTTATAGGGTCTTGAATTGAGCTTGTGACGATTGCGTAGCGCTACGTTCGGAACACTATACTCATTTACAACGCCCGAATCGCGTGCCACCAATAATATTTTTTCGGACATTGCTAGCGTGCAGATAGGATCTACATTGGCATGCGGCTTGTAGCCTTTGTTATCCGCGCTGCTACCGCCTGTAGCGATAACTAAGTCCTTGGCCATTTCGACACCGGTAGGTGTATCGTCTATGTGAAAACGATTATCTTTGCGCGTCTTTGCACCATGTAAATTAGCGACGCTCTGAAAAAGGAAATACAAATATTTTTGTATCAATTAGCATTGTTTACACTCACCTTAGGTGTATTATAATGCCAGATAAGTACTTCGTCAAAAGAAGCTATTGTTACGTGCCCGGAATTGATGCCAACAAAATTTGGTCTCATGTCGGTGTATTTTGCTGTAATATGAAGAAAACAATTCGTTAAGATCTTGAGTTTAAACTGAAGATTATGACCTGTACTTTTCTACAAACAAATGTTGCCATTTAATTGGCCTCCTCCTTAGTATTTGGGCGAAGAGGGCAACGTAAAGGTCACGTTTTTCGTAAGAAAAGAAAACGTCAATAAAGGGATAGAGGGATAGGGAAGGAGGACTATGGCCTTTGGTCTATTGTGCCTTTAAAGCTCAACACAAGGCTTAGCTTAACCCTAAAGGTGCATTGACACAGGAAGCGGGGCCAAGTCGAGCCAAGCCGTTCCGAGCTTTAAAAGTAGGCATCCTGAAATTGTGCATATGGAAACTGTGCATACAAAATAATGCAAATTTCGTTTGAAAACCGAAATAATGCATATAAAAAAAAACCGAAATAAACCATACATGCACACTTTCGGTTGAAACCGAAATAATGTCTAAATGCACAGTTTCCATATGCGCTATTTCGGAGCCCCTAAAATTAATGTAGATATATGAAAGTGTTCATACAGTAAGCTTTTCCTGAAGCGTTTTGGTGCTGAAAGCAAAGCATTTTTTGATTTTCAATTTTCTTTTTAATTTTTAAGCGTCATGGCTTATGCGAACAAGAAATCAAAATAAATTAACGAAAATCTATTTTTCGAGAAAGCAATTGAATCATGTTGAATACTTTTTTTTTTTTAGTGGTCAGGTCAGTTTTGTAATATTTTTACTACCGATTACATGCAAAAAGCACCGCTCTACTTCGTTCAATGTGAACAGCAGCTTTGCTCGGAGCCGCTCGGATTTTTTGTATATCAATATCATTCTGTATATTAATTAAAAATTTAGTATTTTTCGAAAAAAATCACTTCAGATGAAAAAACAGTTTAAGCTTAAACTTACGAGGTATCATTGAAAAGGTACAGTGACTAAAACAATGACCAAGTATTTATTTTTTTAATATTCGTAACAATTTGCCGTTTTAAACAATTTAAGTCTAATGTAGTGCAAGTTTCAAGCAGATAAAACTAAAGTTGATTTTATAGATTTTTTTGTGACGTTTTTTTGCACTTTTTCATATTAAAAAAAAAACCTCAAAAGCAGTCGCCGAAAGAAATTTTCAAAAATCAACGCGATTTTGCAGCCGGTTGAAATTCCCACTTCATTGAAAGTTTGCCAACATTTTAAAATCATATAAAATTGAGAGTAAAAAAGGAATTGTTGAAAGTTGTTGTTTGAGATTGAAAATGAGAATGTGTTTGTGAGTTTGTGTGGGTTAAAATTTTAAAATTAAATTGCTTGCGAACGTCAATAATTTGGAAAATTCCTCTCAGCGGTTCCTTCCTATTTTTTTTATCATGTGGGCTACTATAAAACTGTACACCCACAAATGTTCTAAAGACTCAGATTAAAAAGTTTAAATTTTGAAAAAAAATGTGTTGAATTTTCTTAATTTTGTATAGTTTGAAATTGTGGTTTATATGGTTTTGGTTAAGGCTTGGAACGTATTTTTATAGAAAAATAACAAAAAAATTTTGCTCGAAAAACATTACGAATAGTTAAAACAAATCAACACGTGGTCATTTGTTTGAGTCACTATATGTTCTCACCCTTTTTATTTATTTGCAAATAAACTCATTCAAAGTATGAAAGAGAAAGGTAAGATGAACGAGCGTCACACAGTGGAGCCCAAATATAAACCGATTTCAAGTTTATTTGTTTTAAATAAAGGATACTTAAATTTCGCGTAGATCTATCCGTGGCGGATTAAAAAAAAATTTAGTTTTTTATTTATTTATGTTGAAAAATTAAAGAAAAAAAATTTACGCTTCTTCCACTTTTTTACAAAATATTTGAATTCAATTTTCAAGTGCCGGCAATTATTTAAAAAATTATTCGCAAACATTTTTCAAGAGGATACATTTAATTAAAAAATTTTTTCTGTTCGAAAAACTCGAGAGCAGCTGTACCGATATTTTTGAAATTTTGGACATCGACTCTAGATCTTCCGTGGATGATAATAGAAGAAAAATAATTTCGATATATCCGTGGCACCTCCGATCATATATGTAATACTTCTATATTGGCAGTATCTACAAGTGCAGTCAGCAAACATTATAGTACAGATGTATAAAAAAAAGAAAAGGAAAACCGAGTAATCGTATTTAAAAAATTACACTTGAATTCAAAACAACTCGCAGAAAATTACA